CAGTAGATCCATTTTTCGTTAAGTTGTTGACTGGTTTTAATGCAGCGGTCGGCAGCGCCCTATTAAGTGAGCATAGGGTTTTGTTCTGCCGCCGCGCTGCTCGCACATGTATAACGTAGAACAGCGGTCTGCACACACACATCGATGAGCTGCCCAGTGCAAATTACTCACACATATATAAAACAAAATGTCAACGTATGTGTGTGCCGACCGCTGTTTTAATGAAACATTTCTCATTTTGTTGGATTTTTCATGTACTTTGGGCATGAAAAAAAATCATTAAAAAATATTATTATTAAAAAAAATTCCCATACAAAACAGAGTTTTGAGGGGAGCGTCAGGCCATAGTAGTATAATGACTTTTGTGGTGCCAAAATGTCGACTTTTTTTTAGTTTTTCCTTATTTTGTATGTTAATTAAATGGAAAAGTTATTATTTTTTTTTTTTATTGTTGTTAACAAAAGGGAAACGAACAACATGGCATACTCAGTTTTTTTTTAATGTTCTTCAATAAAGAAGCAATTTGCCAATTAAGTCAAAATCGACTGGTGTATGAAGACTTAAGTGGCACACTGTATATATTTATGTACATGCACTTGCAGTTTCGAGCACAAAGAGAGCAGTTTCACCAACAACAAACTATTATGTTTAGAGGTGACGCTGGCAAAACAGAGCATTAGCAAATATATTCTGTTGCCAATTTTGTTTTGCAAGTTATTATGTTACTGTCTTTTTAAATTATCCAAACGGCTCCTATTGTTTAAGGTTGCAGTGTTACTGACAATATGTTCAAAAACTAAGATGAACCGAATAGGTTTTGACAGGGAAATCGCGATGTGAAGGAGGAGCGTAGAAAAACACGTCCGAATACTAGTTAGGCACACTTGTTAGATCCAAAGTACAAAATACATTTTTTTTCGAATAAATCGAAAACAAAATGGAGGCTGTGCAGCATTTCTTCGTAGGCCCTTTTTTGTTAAAGGGGGTCTATGGCCGGACAGCTAAAGACCTTAATTTTTGATCTGAAACAAAAAATTAGGATGGGTTTTTTGTTTTATATATAAAAATTTTTTGCAAAATGGTGACTGATTGAAAAAAAGTTAACATTTTCACGAATAAAAAACGTCACAAAATTGTTGATAAAAAATTAAGCAATTTAAAAAATTATTTGCGTGTCGATAGAGGAATGTATTTTGAATATACTGTCAAAATTTCAGATCAATCGGTTAAGATTTGTTCGAGTTATGTCTTAAAAAAAGTGGTTTCGAGAAAAACGCGTTTAAGGGGCGAATGTATCTCCCCCCTTAAACGCGTTTTTCTCCATATGTTAGAACTCCAATTTTTTCATTATTTTCGCGATTTTTTTTAACCAATAAGGGATTGTGCTGGGATTTTACAGTTTACATTTTTCTTTTATAATTTTAACCAATTTGTATTTTTTTATCTTTGAAAATGGCGGCCGTGAGAATTTTTTATGTCAGGTTATATTACAATTTATTTAGACTTTTGTGTCAATCCGTGAAATTTGCTACTGACCGTTTTTTAGAGGTCCAATTATATAGTAGTTTAGACAAGAGAGAACGCTATAGTCATGTTGGTGTCCCGAATATCTAATACCCGACACTCAGGTAAAGGGAGTGCGAGGGAGATGGATATATAAAATTTTGATTGCGCATAACATTTAAATGAATGGTCCTATTTGAAAAATGTCTTTAACACTTCGATAGGTATAAATATACACAACAAAATTGCATTTATACTTATTGGAAATGGAGTGGTCGCCAGGCACGTTTTAAAATCGTTAGTGAGCGATTGTGGGCGCTAGAGGGGGCTAGGAGCTCGGCTGAAATAAACTTGCGCTGCGTAGAAAGCCCAAGAATATGTGTGGGTAATCCCAACTTTCTAGCTTTTGTAGTGTCCGAGATCTCAGCGTTAATACAGACAGACGGCTTGTGACCCTGATCAAGAATATATGAGTGATTCTTTGTGAAACGTATCGAGATTTTCTTCATGGTCTCAAAACGATATTTAATTTTTATGATACTATCACACCATTTAAAAAGGATTTTTAAAAAAGTTTAAAAAAAAATTCATTTGACAAAAGCCAAGATATGGCGTTGCTATTTTTTTGTTTAATTCATTTATAATTTTAAATTACGCTGGATAAAAAATAAATAAAAATACTCAAAAATTATTATTTTTGCCAAGCTTTCAGATGAAAATAACAACCATAATGGTTCCAATGCAAAATACGGTCCAAACTTAAAAAAAAAATGTTCATTCGCGGTTTTCTGCAAATCGGCATTTTTAATCTTTATAAAAAATAGTATAATGTTCTATACATAATTCTTGTTGGCTCCTAAAAGTTTCGTCATGGGACCTCCATTACTTTCTGCATAATTTAATAAAACATTAAAAAACAAAGCAGTCTTTCGTTGTTATACATTAAATTATATTAGACGAACAGTTTCGTTCTTCATGAATTCCGGTAGAACGACCGTTCCCATTTAGGTAAAACCAATAGGAAAAATGCAGTTTTGTATAACAAATAAATCCCTACCAATTTCAACGAGGGACAATAACTTCTTGCTAATTATTTAGTTCTAAAGAAGAACACTCGAATATATAGCAACACATTACATCCAAGCTAAGACCATTCCAGGCTCCTTGTAAATAACGCACCTTGTTCGGTTCATTTCGCTCCTTGATTCCCCCTGTGGCGGCGCTCCACTGTTGTTTTAAGCCTCCTTACAATGATTTGTGTACTGGGAAAATTTAAATGTCTTCAGCGAATGACTATCTTTTTAAAAGAGTTTGCTATTAGGTGTTGGAGCAATATGATGGTGCTTTTGAGAACGTGGAATGGTCTTAGCTTGGATGTAAGGTGTTGCTAACGTGTTGTTCTTCCTTAGAACTACATAAGTAGCAAGAAGGTATTGTCCCACGTTGAAATTGGTAGGGATTTATTTGTTATACAAAACTGCATTTTTCCTATTGGTTTTACCTAAATGGGAACGGTCGTTCTCCCGGAATTCATGAAGAACGAAACTGATCGTCTATTATAATTTAATGTATAACAACGAAAGACTGCTTTGTTTTTTAATGTTTTATTAAATTATGCAGAAAGTAATGGAGGTCCCATGACGAAACTTTTAGGAGCCAACAAGAATTATGTATAGAACATTATACTATTTTTTTATAAGAAGATTAAAAATGCCGATTTGCAGAAAACCGCGAATGAAAAATTTTTTTTAAGTTTGGACCGCATTTTGCATTGGAACCATTATGGTTGTTATTTTCATCTGAAAGCTTGGCAAAAATAATAATTTTTGAGTATTTTTATTTATTTTTTATCCAGCGTAATTTAAAATTATAAATGAATTAAACAAAAAAATAGCAACGCCATATCTTCGCTTCTGTCAAATGGATTTTTTTGAAACTTTTTTAAAAATCCTTTTTAAATGGTGTGATAGTGTCATAAAAATTAGATATCGTTTTGAGACCATGAAGGAAATCTCGATACGTGATTCACAAAGAATCACTCATATGTACTTTATAGGGTAGGAAAAACTTCCTTTTAGCAATATATCCTTTTACTCTACGAGTAACGGGTATAAAAAGTAGGCCAGCTGCGGATTGTCCAAAGGTTGCTGTGTAGATCCGATTTTTATGAAACCAAGTTTATTTTGTAAAGAAATAATGAAGAAACTGTTTGAACCTAACATACATAGAATATCTCAAAAACTCTGGTTGTGGCACTCTTTCAAAGTCAAAAATTTATTTTTTTTGTTTAATTTTTGCAAATATTTGGCCTTAATTTGTTCACAACAAAAAAACCCTTAGATCTGAAAGTTCACAATAATTTATACATTTTTATTTATATTTTTTTTAATTAAATGTAAGCTAGCTGTAACAAACAAACGCCAAAAATTAAACTTGTTTTGAACTTTCACAGGTTGCATCTCCGTTAATTGCGACCCGATCACAACGAGTAAAAGCTTTTCGGAAAGGTTTATCTGTTGCCTTTTAAATAGTGTCAGTAACAAGTTGGTTGGTCTAATGGATCAATTAAGTTTTTTAAAAGAAGTGCTGAAAATCTGGATTTTTGCAAATATCTTCAGAATGGTTCTTTGGAATTTTTTTTTATTTGTTCAGCGGGATCAGCAACTCAAAACTATAAAAAAGCGGTGTGTCCAGCCTACGCACGATAGGAATGAAACCTCTAGCATTCCTCACTCGTTTATCATTTTATGGAACGACCTGGAAATATATACATGTAATTGGTCTTCTTTTCTCGATCGGTTTGTTTAGTCGACAGCTGTGCGCTGCAGCAGATTCGCAGTCAGAAGGGTGAGAGGTGTGTGCAGCTTAATTGATGTCACAGAAATAATTGTGCGAGCGCATGGTGCAACTATATGTGTAAGGTGGTCTCAGCGCAAGAGCTGCTCTCTTTTGAGGACGTCATTTGTGCCAGTCTCAATCTAGCTATCTCATTCTATCGCTTAAGAAAGACAGAGAAGTAAACATATTTAACGTCATCATCAGAGCTGACGATACCACCTTATATATTTATTTGCACCATGTGCGAGCGCGCTCAGAGCGAAAAGAGGTAAGAAGAGGACAGAGAGAACGTTCGTCAGCAGTGAAAGAGAGACAGGGATATGTACGATTTTCGTGACGGTCATGAATCGATTTTACTCCGTCCCCAAAAATCCATAGCGCGCCTAAAGAAGTTTCACTTAAAAAAAAATTGGTCTCTGAGATTATGTCGAAAGAAAAACTAAAGTTGTAAACTAGTGTTATTGGGTGCCCATTACTTAGCTTAAGACAGTGCGAGATTTAACTTTTAAATGGATTTCCGATTTAAATTCTACATTTCCATAGGTGATAATAAACACAACAAAATGGCATTTGCACTTTTGCGAAATCTGCCCTTAGAGTGGGCGACAGATTGTTAAATTAACAAACAAATAAATCAGCAACTTACAATTTTTTTATAGGTTGAAAAGGAAGCTGCTCGACTTTCACTCATTGGAGTGATTGAACGTCCGGAGAACAACGTGAAGTACGAGGATATAGGCAACATTTGGATTGGCAACCAGTCTGCTTCCTGGAAAAACGAATTGTTATCCCGCCTTCAAAGCGTAACCCACCGACGACCGTTCTCTAGGCAAGAGTTCGAGAGCTACCTGATCCGCAACAAACCGATCTTCGAGCAGATCTCACGCCAGAACCACGTGACTATCGAAGACATCCACTTGTGGCTGGACCAGAGCGCCAAACTCACGGGTCTTGTCTCCTCTGAGTGGCAAGTTAAGGAACGGCTGTACATCGACAATCTGCTCAGCCATCCAGAACACAAGCAGCAGAGGTGGACCATAGACGAGCTGCAGATTCTACTGAACAACGATCAGAAGCACTTGAAGGATGCAGTCGTCCAGTATAATGTGACTATCGAAGAGTTGAAGGTCTGGTACAAGAACGAGCTTAGCCGACTGCTGAAGCAGCGCAGAATCGACAGTGGCTTAGGCCTTTCAATGAAGACCGATGAGTTAAATACAGGGCGACAGGGCAACGATTGGCGCGAGCAAGAGCGAAAGCGTCTTCGTGAAGTTGCCGTCGGAGTAGTGATTACTGAGAAGGAGCTTCTTGATTTTATTTCACATGACACAAGCTTTCAGTCGAAATTGGCACAGCTCTATCAGGTGGGTCTGAATCAATTGGCGCCCTTGCAGCGCATATTTACCGGCAACATGGCGCGCGAGCATTTACTGGAGCAACGCCGCCTGAACCATCTAACCACTTGGCAGCAGAGGGAACGTGACCGCCTGTACGAATTCATCGGCAATCAAAACATGACGCAGTCGGAACTTAGTAATTGGCAAAGCCAGGACTCGCACTTGTTAGAAGAATTTGCCCAGAGGTATGAGATCACGGCGCAGCAGCTCAAGGACTGGCAGAAGCAGGAGCTCGAGCGCATCAACCAGTTGGCTAGGTACTACAGCATGTCGCAGAGCGACCTGCAACAATTCCGCGAGGGCGAGCTTAGCCAAATAGCCTACATAAATCACCGCCAACTATTGTCTGCTGCCGAATTACAAAAATGGGAGAAGCGCCACCAATGGTCCTTAAGTCGGTTGCAGAGTCGCTATGGCAAGTTTGGAAAAGAGTTGGTCGCCTGGCGCCGTACTCTATTCCTGCTTAGCCAGGGTCTCATTACCCTGCCAGCGAACAGTGGCGCTAATGGTGGATACGTGGTGGATCCAGGAAGCACCAACGCCTCGGCTGCATACAAGCCAATATTTTCCAAGGATAGAGGGGACCAGCCGCCCCACAATTACGAGGAAACCTTTGTCGAGGACGACGAGCCGGGCCTGGAGGGCGAGGCGAAAGGTTCGCGACCTGTACATTCCTCCACCTTTCTGACTGCGTCCACTCCTCCTGTCCCATATAACCGGGGTGGACCTGCTAAAGGTTATGAGTACCATCGTGAAGACTACACCTTCAACGTGCCGGTGGTCACAGCCTCGTCCTTGGCTACCAGTGGACTCACCGGATCTTCAGCCAGTGCAAGCGCAACCATTGGAAAGTGGAACCGCGCGGCTGGGGATGAGCCCTCTGAACAGGAGGAAAATCTTGGACAGCAGCAGCAGGCGGAAGAACTGGGATGGAACGAAAGGCTAAAGGATCTTGGGCAGCAGAAGCAGGTTGAGGACACAGACTGGAACCATCAGTCGGAAGATCTTGGTCAACTGCAAGGTAATTTTGAAGATAGCTCCATCTTTGACCAAGCGAAGGATAACATCGTCAAGAATAACATCAAGAACACTCCCCTGCAACAGCCCTCGACGGTAAGTGCTCGATTAGCGATAGACTCTCAGAATAATGAATTGTACAATATCTTTCAACAGGTGGAGGTAGAAGCGACCGCAGAGCCCTCGTTTTGGGAGAAGCTCAAGGGAAAGCTCGGCTGAAAGGAAACCCGTTAACTGCCAATTACAAACTTTTCATAGCTTAGTTTGAGAAATAAAGAAATTAAATTTTTTTGTGCAACGAAAAGAACAATTAAAGTTCATTAATCTGTTGTGTAAGAAAGTGTTTAAATACAATACAATATTGTAATACTAGGGGAGAGTGGGACAAGGAAACATATTTATATTTAGGTTGGAGTTATGGGGTTATTTGTACTACAAACCTACAAGAGACATGAATATATATGCATATATGATTATATGACAAAGAAAAGCAAAGTCTTCAACGTTTTTAAAAACTTAAAAAAAAAAAACAATTACCTTCACCAAAAAATTATGAACGGTTGTTTTCTAGTAATAAAAAATTTAAAATACGGGCGCGACAGACTCTAAAATTTCTTAATAATTTTTGTTTTGTTTTTTTTTTTTGTGGTTTTTGGTGACTTGTTTTTTGATAGATGGTGGGCTTTAGCCGGTTCAAGGTTGAGGTGTTTTTGTTGCCTTTTTGTTTTTAGTAGTAGGGTACGAACTCGTCGAATCTCACATATGACGCCACGAAAAAAATTCCAACTAGTCGTATTCCCTTATCGTGTCGACAATGTATGTTCAGTAATATTAATAAGGAGCCCCGTAATATCATCGTGAGGTTTTTTTTTCTAAGAAGGTGGTGCGCAACTTAGCAAACCTATTCAATTTATTTGGTTTCAGCAGTGGCATAGTTAAAATGTGTTGAAAATAAAATCATATAAATACAGGGGTGGTCAAAAGTATTTTCACAAATGTTAATGTTAACTGTACTTATATTTTGAACTTATAATATAAACTTTTGGCACCTATAGAAAGAGCACTTCAATTCCGTTTAAATGACACAAAAATTTTCTTAACCCATTAAGACCCCTTTGAAAAGTGAGCAAATTTTGTGAAAGTCAAATTTTCAACTTTTTTCCTGGGGCTTAAAACAAAAATGTTTTGATGCAAAGTTGTTCCCCAATCAAAATTAATAATAACTGCAAAAAAAATTTTCAAAATATTTTTCCTTGTATTTTTTATGATTTTTTGAATGGAGACCTCTCAGTAAAATTTTGTATAAAAAGGAAGAAAAAGCGGCAAAAATAGCTATTTTCAAAAAATCATAAAAAATACAAGGAAAAATATTTTGAAATTTTTTTTTTGCAGTTATTATTAATTTTGATTGGGGAACAACTTTGCATCAAAACATTTTTGTTTTAAGCCCCAGAGAAAAAGTAGAAAATTTGACTTTCGCAAAATTTGCTCACTTTTCAAAGGGGTCTTAATGGGTTAAGAAAATTTTTGTGTCATTTAAAAGGAATTGAAGGGCTCTTTCCAAAGGTGCCAAAATGTTTATATTATAAGTTCAAAATATGAGTACAGTTAACATTCAAATTTGTGAAAATACTTTTGACTAGGGTTTTATATAGGGGAGAGTGGGGTAATTTCGTCACTGCACATTGGGCCAGCGAGCCGATTTTTCGACGAAAATTCAAATTTTTCATAGAAAGTAAACCTTTTTTAATAATACAGTTTGAATAGTATATAGGGGAGAGTGGGGGAATTTCGTCACAGGGGCAATTTCGTCACCTGCAATATCTCGGAATCCATAAGTCGTAAAAATATATAATTTTTTTGTTTTAGTCCTTCAAGACGGCCAGACACAACCAATGCGTTTTTTTTTGCACAGAAAGCCAAGATAATTAAGCTATAATATTAAATGTGTTTTAATAGTTCAAAAGCTACATTTAGTTCTCGACGAAGTTTTTTCTGTATGCCACAATTGAAAAGGGATAAGATACAGGTTTTTTTGTATAATACACAGTGCTATAATGTGCATTTCTGCGTTAGTGATGTTTAACTTCGCGCCTAATTTCGGAAGAAAAATAATTATTTCTAAAAAAGTACTGTCTGGGGAAATTTCGCCACCCTATGCTTAGGGTAAATTCGCACCTATTTTAGATACATCTTTTTTTATTTGACGAGCTGGCTAACAAACAGACTACCAGCAGCAGCAACAAATATAGGACGTCAACAAAAATGGTACGCTTGATCAGTGTAGCATATTTAAAGGCGTAAAATTCCCTACGTCAGGTGACGAAATTGCCCCAGTGGTGTAACGATTTCACCCCCCTATGTGGCGGGATTGCCCCAGTATATTGGTTTTTCTTTTTAATTTTTTAAAAATCACCAAGGTAATTAAACAAAAAGGGGAATGTCACATTTTAAAGCTTGGTGCTAACCGCATTCAACAATAAAAATAGAAATATGATAACGTGTCTCAAGATGGACAAAAAATACCTTTGAAAAAATGCTGACGAAATTACCCCACTCTCCCCTACACGAATAAATGAGATCTTTATTAACAGTTTTTGGTACTTGGCGTTATTTTATTTTGCGCCGATTGAGATTGACACCGTTTTTGCTCCAAGTGTACCTGGTAGGGTATAGTGACAAACATTTAATATTGTATGGTGACAAATTTTTTTTATTCAAAAATTTTAATCGTTACAAGATTACATTAAATGCTTCAGTTTTTTTTGTAGTTTTGTATTGTTTTTAGTTGTAAAGTCAGTTGGAAAGGATGGCTCACGCCAAAATCTGTGGGATGTAAGCAATTTTTTAAAAGTGCTCGCCAAACGCTGTAGAATTCAGCTCCGTTGGAATTTCGAACCCTAATTTTACAGAAATATGCTCAGTAGATGTTAGCAACTTTCTGCTTTTACACTATTAAAATTTTTGATTTTTAGAAAAGTTATAGTCTATTTACACTGGGGTGGAGTTATGGAGTTATGGGGCTATTGACATAACCCTGTTTTTTTTTTACATAGGCTGTGTATAGGCAACTAGATGTGGGCAAAAGTGAGGTACTTTTAGGGTCTTTGGTATTTCTGAGTATTTTTTTGTATTTTTCGGTATATTTTGTATTTATTTCCTATCGGTGAAGGTCCCTCCCAGAGAGCTGCAACGAGTCAATCATTTTCGGGTACACCCGACCATTTACTTGTATCCGTTTTGATTAATCGCTTCGGGTGAGCGAAATGAAATGAGCGGTGAGCGAATGCGATCGTGCCATGAATGATCGTTTGTGATCGTTCAAGTGTGTGATCTGATCGTGTGTGAGCGTTCGGCTTGAAGATTTTACCCGTTTGTGATCGAATATTTTGTGCAATCGATTGGTGTGATCGTGCTTTGCGCCTATCGGTATGACCGTGCAGTTCGTGTTATTGCTTAATATTTTGCACAACATATTTTTATATTTGCACAAAAGGACAACAAGGAATAGATTTTGAAAGCGTTTTAGAACTAATATCAAATGGAACCTACACGTTGTCAGGCCAACGGAAAGGAAAAAGTTCCATATGGAATAAATATTTCTCAATAAACATATAATACATTGAATGCACTCTCCCCCTATTTTATTTCGTCGTCACAAGAAATCATATTAATCCGTTCACAATCGATTCATGTACAACTGACTCGAGGTCGCAATCATCGGGAACGATTGAGCGCTTCGGAATGATCATTTTGTTCACCTACACCCGAAGTTCAAAATCACATCATTGATCGTTACGAAGCGTGTCGGGTAGTTGATCAGATCGTACTTTGGCTTTCGGGTTTGTTCGTGATTATTCGTTGCCGAGTGAGTTTTCCGGATTAAACGAAAATGATCGCGAGATGATCGATCGTACTCGATCATACTCGTTGCAGCTCTCTGGTCCCTCCCTAGTCAAATAAACAACACAAACAACAATCACTAGATGGCTTTACTCGATATTTGGAGTTAACCCAGTGGAAACATTTTTTTGGAGTAATCAGGTTATTGGCTCACTCGATAGGTTACCCCACATAGTGTGACTAGACTATTACATTCAAAAAACGAATCGTTCGTCACCTTACCCAGGGTAAGTTACCCTACACTCCCCTATTAAAAGACACTTTTATCCTCCTTTCTTCCAATATATTTCAAACCCCTCCGGTGTCCGTCTTCAGGGCTGTACAAATATTAACAATAACACAAGCATTTAACATTTAATTATTCCTAATACACCTTTAAATCACCTATGTATCTACATGAATGACGCTGTGTCCGATCTTGACACTGCGGAGTTCTAAACTAATTTATAATTTTCTTTTGGCCAAGTAAGTGTCTGTAGATATATGCGACTTTGTCTGTGTCTGTTTTGAAGTTTAGTCTAGTGGAGCGGTCGGCACACTCATACATTGACATTTTGTTTTAGATTTGTGTGAGTAAATTGCACGGGGCAGCTCATTAGTGTGTGTGCGCAGACCGCTATTCTACAATGTACGTGAGAGGCAGAGGATGGGCAGAACAATTCCCTATGCTCACTTAATAGGGAGCTGCCGCCCGCTGGTCTAGTGTGTGTGGGAGTATTGTTTATGTGAAGCATTTCAAGAGTGAAGCGTTTGTTGTAGTGATATTCTTGTTGTAGGATGCTGACCGACGCAAAGTCTGGTAAGTGCCTAAACTCAAAATATTATTTTTTCTTAAATATAAAAAAAAATTTTTCAGTGCTTTAAAAAAATATTCTATAAAGAGAAAAAATGATCTAATCTTCAAAAAAAATATTCTATTGAACGAGTTTTTTTAGTTTTCGGGTTCTAATACCCGTCACTCAGCTATAGGGAGTGCGAACGAGGTAGTCCCGTCGGCTGCCTGATGCTTCGGCTTTTAGTCTGTTGATGTGCTTGGACTATGGGGTAGGCGATATCTATCTTTTTTTTCTCCTTTTTTTTATTTTTTTTTATAATTTTTTTCCCACGGGACTACTTTTTTAAAAATAATTTTATCCACACACATGCGCAAAAGACTTTTTGAATCGTCGCACTGCACTATGGGGCATTTGACCTGTATTTTTGGCATTAATTAAAATTTGCAAAACAAAGCTACTTTTTTGAATTTGGTTTTTGAAATATGTTTATAATAATTAAATACATCCTTTTGAGCAAAAATCAAACACTATAACAAATTTATTAAAAAAAAAAATATTTTTTTTTCTTAAACCTACAAAAAAAAATTTTTTTTTATGGTTTCTAATAATGAAGAAACTATATTTGTTCGCAGCAGAACGCCTAAATTTCATTGTTTACTATCAAAAAGTTTGCTAAC